AGAGAGAGAGAGAGAGAGAGAGAGAGAGAGAGAGAGAGAGAGAGAGAAAGGAGGGGAGAGAGAGAGGGGCTGGTGGTTACCCACCTAGTAACTTTACAAGCTGACGCTACGATTCTCCCGCTGCTTCTTCGGCTCCTTCACAATGACTGTTGTGCTCTGGCTATGGCTGGACGACGACGCCTTCGACTGCTGCTGCTGCACAGGAGACGTGGAGGCAACCATGCGACGGGCAATGCACGGCGGCCTTGAAGGGCACAAAGCTGGACTATCGGGGTTCATCCAGGCAGCGAGGGGCAGCATTCCGAATTCAAAACTTCAAAAACAAACTAACTTCAACTGCCCCCCCTTTTTCTTCCGATGCCCCACGCGGCCTCAAACTGTTTTTTTTTTTATGTGTGTGGTTCGTGGCGCGGTATCCCACCCGGGCCTAGAACACCCCTCGACAACTTTTTTTTTTTTCCGTCGACCCCGTATTTTCGGGGTGCCTCAAATTTTATGAAGACTGTGGAAGCGACCCTCAGCCAAAAGTTGTTTTGTTTGCTATTCTGCACAACATACGTTTTTTCAAAATGTTTTGAAAACTTTTGATTTTTTTTTTGTGAGATATCATAGGCCAATATTTGCGGCTTGCGTTGTAAATCTGCGGGGTTCTCCTTTAGGATTGGAGCCCCTTCCCGTGAGGGTTTCACAAGGTGGGACGTGTTACCCTTGGAGGGGGAGAGGCGGTATTGAGGGATTGTCTTTTTCTGGGCTAGGCTGATTTAGGGTCGGATCAGCACTAGCGGTTGGGGAGAGAAAGCAAGGGGGAGGCTGCATATAGCAGGGTGGGGGTTTGTTCTTTGAGGAAAGGAGTAACTTCGATGGTCACACAGTGCGCCTATATGTGTTGTAGAGTCCCGGGTAAATGCCAGAATCTGCTTCTGTTTTCTTGACTTTGAAAACATTTCAAAAAAATCTCTTAAAAAGCTATTCGGTAAGCAGGAAGGGGAAGGTTGGTTTTAGTAGGGTGAACTAGTTTGGTCGGTACTGGGGCAGTTCGCGTTGTCCTGTCATCCTAGCAAAGGGGGTATGAGATCTAGCGAGTTCTTGTATGAGGACAGAATGCCTGGGCAATAGTCCTCCCTCTGCGGTGCAGGGAAGAGCTAGATTGTGGGTGGTATTTTTGTTTCTTCTTAGCCGAAGCCACATATTTGGGTTGGGGGTTTCTGAGTTGGTATCTCAAAGAAAAGAAGGAAGGGGGGGGGTGCTAGAACTGGAGGATGGTATGTTGAAAGGAAGACTCTCAACAAAGGAAGGTTGTTTGCTAAGGTAAGTAGGTTAGAAGGACGATGTTGGGATGACACAGGCCGGTGCTGGAGCTCTTGCTCCGTGACCTAGATAGGGGAGATTGAGGTCTGTGGAGTTATGTCGAGGGTGGAAGGCATAACCAGACCGTTCGACGCTGTCGGCGCCGGGGTATTAACCCTGTAACCTGTGTCAGAGGCTTGCCGGCGAAGTTGCCGCTATGGGAAATGTCGAGGGAGGAAGGCACTTCGTGTCCGTCAAAACTAGTTTGGTCAGTACAGGGGAAGGCTGTGGTGGCCTGTTACCCTAGCAGAAGGGAGTATGAGATCAAGTGTGTTCTGGTACGAGGACTAAAAGCCTGGACCGACGTTCCATCTGTTGAGGGGGGGAGATTTGGATAGTAGGCAGTTTCAGTTTTGACCCCC